GAGGTCCGTCAGGGTTTTTAGGGTTTTGTGTGTGCGGGGGCACACCACTCAATTTATAAAAGCTGCCAAGGTTGAAAAACACTGATATATGTTAATAAGTGCAGGAATTTATGTGCATCCTTTTTTTTTTAACCACTTTTCATTTGATGATCCTGGGGTAGCTGCAAAATGTAATAAAACACACAGCCTTATCAGAATACCATCAAAATACAGTGGTTATGATCAAGAGCTAGAATTTCCTAGTTTAATAACAGTGGGAAGCAAAAAAAAATTTTTTTGTCTGGTGTGGGAAAGAACAGGTCGAGCGTTTTTCATTGGCTCTAGGAGTTTGGATTGGGCTCAGAAGCCAGTATGTCCCCAGTGTGGTTCTTTTGGAATTGGAAGAATATAACTTCCAATTCATTTGCCAATTAACAGTCTTTGTCACTGCAGGTAATCCTCATTTAGTGACTGTTCACAGTTATGACCACGATGAAAAAGTAACTGCAACCAATCCTTGCATTTATGAGCTTTGAGGTCTATAAAGCAAAAGAATGCTGAAGTAAGATCATAAGCACAGCTGTGGTTTCACTTAGTGACTGCTTTGCTTAATAACCGAGTTGCTGGTCCCAGTTGTGGCCGCTAAATGAGGACTACCTGTATTTACTTGTCCGCTGACTTACTGGAAATCAGTGTCTGTTTTACAAGCATTTGGATCTGATTCATTAATAGTAGTTGTTCTGATCCAGTGTTGATTCTTATAGATAGGGACTTTGAGCATTTTACATAAAAGACCTTTCAGTTTGTTTGCCTGGAAAACTCCAGTCTGAACGCTTACACACAAATATGCATCTGAGTTGAGAATTTCCTGTGTGCGAAGTCTATAAGCATGCAGCGTTATACAAAGTAATGGATCAAACTGCAAGCAATTGGGTTTCAGTATTGCTAGTATTATCTAATTCAGCTCATATATATATTAAATACATATCTTTTTCTGTACATATTGAATATTCTAGATAAGTTCTCTCCATTTGCATCCAGCAGTGGCAGGAGAATAAATATCCCCTACGTTAGAAACCTGACTCTTCTAGATAATGAAAAAAGTAAGTGGCTGAACTGTAAATAAATAACTAAAAATAAAAAGTATTTTAATTGCATTTTTGTGCAGCTGAGAAGAGATATAAAGAGTGCAGTTGGATTGGATTTAGTGTAGCATATTGCGTGAACCTATCCGGTCAAACCCTTACATCAGAGTTTCTCAACTTCAGCAACTTTAACATGAGTGGACTTCAACTCCCAGAATTCCCCAGCCAGCATGCTGAGGAATTGAAGTCCACCCATCTTAAAGTTGCTGAGGTTGAGAAACACTGCCTTACATTGATCATAACGAATATGAACGATCCCATTGATTTTAGTAGAACGTTTCTAGGCTTACAGTTCTCTGAGCAATGGAGTCTTCTCAACACATGCTAACTACTCAGAGAAGAGCTCTTGGAAATAAACAAGACATCAATTCCATGTGTCACAGCCAGATACAAAAACTACTCGGTCTCATTGAAGTTTAGTTTGCATGTTGGGCCAACCCAGCATCTCCTTTACAGGATGCAAATGAATGCTGAGGTAGGCAGTGGGAAAAGGTGCTGGTGAAGACTGCTTTTGCCAGCCTTTAGCTCACCTGTAATCCCAAATCCAACCCATTATTTTTAAATGCGCATTGAAATGGTTCCAGAATATATTTGGCATGAAGCTTGATTGTATACGTGTCATTTTTTACTTTCTTTCAAGCTTCCTGTCACCCCTGTTTGTGTCTGAATTCTTGCTCTTCATGCAGCTTAATTTTCTTGGTGGTTAAGGAAACCAGGTCTGTGACTCTTGCAGGATTATGTACGATTAACTGTGCCCTAGATATAACGCTGAAGGCTTCCATTCTATATTAGATAGAGGAGACAGGGATTTTGGTGGAAAAAATAGACAGGTAAAGCAAAACAGTTCAGAAAAAACCCTGCTGAGAAGGTCCATCTGTAAGAGAGACTTAGTTGTGGCTCAAATTATTTTTGTTTTTATTGGTGGAAAAGACACGGAAGGTTTCCTGCACCAGATGTGCAAACATGTCTTGCCCTTTTGCATCTGGGAAACAGGTGATTTGAGCTTTTGCATCCTTTCAAAATCCGTTTCACCAAAAGAAATTCTGCAGGAAGCCACACAGTATTTTGTGGTTTGGTTAAGATCAATATGCCCCCGTCTCCAAACTTTATGCAAAGTTACAGGTGGACTGGACTGATCAAGAGAAAGACAAATATTGCTTTCAGCAGAAGGCCACAAAGCTGATCATTGAGGATAAAAACCAACCAGCAAAATAGGAGTGACAGTGGGGAGAGAGGTTGAACGAGACTCAGTTTTACTGCTGATGTGTCAGGTTAACTATATGCTTAGTGTTGGATTTATAATGTTCCCTATCCTTTGAATTAATTTAAATCTTTATTTTTACAACAGATGTGAATATTGCTATACAGTACAATCACGATGGATCTTATGACATGCAGGTAAACTTCTTCATCCTAATATGTTCAACAACTTCAGGTTCTTTCTGTGGGGGCTCTTGTAAAAAAAATGTAATAGCACACATTTATTGGGTCCAGTCTCATTTCTAGACAGAATTAATAGGGAAAAAACAGTTGAGTGACTGTGAAATAATGTTGCTATTTTGTGCTATTTTATTGAGTATCATTATTGAGTAGTGTTATTAATGTTAATTACCCAAATTGCTTGCAGAGAAAGTGGGGACACAGGGAAAGAAGTGCTGTTTTGCTTTCCATGTTTTTTCCTCTTTCCCAGAAGAGATGTTCAGAATTTATTCTAATTTTTCCTTTAGCTCTGCCCTGTCTGCAAACCTTTTAAGCATTTCAGTTGCCCATTTCTTTTGAGCAAAATATGCTGGCTTCCAATGAAAGTTGTATGAAGGGAGAAAAATGTCTTCCTTGTTGAGTTGTAAAGTTTAGCTTCTTTAAAAAAAAAAAGCATTGTCTTTGTTTCTCAGAGATCATTTCATACAGATTTGTGGGAAGGGGACTCTTCTGAAGTGCGTTAGAAGATTTGTGAAATAGTTTGAAGAGATGGATATGTTTATAATGCAGAACATTGATTGACTAGATTGGAACTGCCAAGGAACATTAAAAAATAATTTGAATAGGATTTGCTTATAATATAAGCTATTTTTGATATTTCCTTGAGTTTCAGAAAAAAGGGGAAGAGAAGACAAGACTTGAGAAGCTTCTGATATCTAAGAACCACAGATTTTAGCTGTTCTTTTTTTCTTTTTAGTTTTTTTCCTCTAAAATATTCCGTTGGAAAGCAGTATGTTTTTTCTTGTCTGAGATTGATTTTCCTCAGGAATGGTACCTAAGCCCTTGTAAATGTATTTCAGATAGAGGATCAATTTTTCCACGTTTCTGGTTGCCTTTCAAGGGATGATGACATAGAATATATAAGATGTTCAGTGAACGGAGTTGTTCATCAATCCAAACTCATAGTTCTGGACAGCGCCATTTACCTCTTCTCATCGGTAATATTTTCAACTTTATTTGTGTGGGGAATAAAATTAACAGAAAACTAACTTAAAAAAAAAAAAGCAGTTTTCACTTCTAATGTATTATTTCTCTAAATATCAAGGATAGGGAATCTCTGGCCTGGGTGGGACTAGTACGCAGGTCCTTTTTGTAATTCCTAAAGCTGCCTAAAATCTCAACTCCAAACTTTAATGGCAAACCACTGAAAATTAAATTTTCTCTACTTCTTGATTTTGTTTTCTCTAGGAAAGTCATGAGCAGATTGGCCTTCCGGTGCCAAAATATTTAACTAGTATGACTTCAGGAGGAGATCAGAGTGGGGCTGTGGCTCCCATGACAGGGACAGTGGACAAGGTAATTCTGAGTGCAAGAATTACAAAGCATTTGCTAAATTAAACTATAGGTATATTTCTTTTTTTTTTTAATTGGGTGTGAAAGACATTAAAATGATTCATAAAGGCTAGTATGTAGCACTTATTTCAGGCTGCTTACCACCTCTCATTTCATGACTTGGGCAGTTTTCAGATGTGTGGATTTTAATTCCCAGAGTTCCCCAGCCAGCATGGCTACTGCTGAGACTTCTGGGAGTTAAAGTCCACATATCTGTAAATGGCCCATATTGGGAAACACTGCATCAGATTGTGGTTTCTTTTGTCATTTGATTGCTTAGTGTGCCTCCACAACAGCTTAGAGGAGACACTAGGAACCTGTGGCCTGGGACAAGTGCTGAGATTTGTTATTCAGCTACATCTGGTTGAAAACAGTTCTTGCCCCATGTGCTTTTTGAGACAAAACTAATTTATTGTTGGACTCTATCCAGAACATCATAAACTACTTCTGATTCAGAGTTTTAGCTTCCAGAAAAACCACTGGACCACCCCTGGAATGGCTGGATTGGTTTGGTCTGGATGGAACCTTCAAAAGTTCTCCAGAAGGTTCCATTCCTGGAAGGATAGGTTTTGCCCATCCCTATTTCAGAGAGATTTCTGAAGTCTTTTCAAATGATTCTCAATCTGCTCTGCTCCTCTCTGGTTATCTGGCTATAATTCTGATTTTCAAAGCTCAGCCCCTCCCGTAAAACTGGAAACCTTCTGTGTGGGGTTCGTGGCATCCTTACAATCACAATACCATGTCCACCTGCATCTCTTTCTGAATCTCCACCTCATCCCATGCTGCAAATTCCTTGTGGAAAATGTCATCATAGGTCTAGGCTGAACCCTTTGTCCCCACCAAGCCCAGTTTGTGCACAGAGAGAGAGGAAGATTCTTCTTTTCAACATGAGGTATATTTCTAATACATAGTTCATCAACTGATCCAGAACTGGCACATCTCTGAAAACCCCAGGTTTCTTTTTGTATTCAGCTCTTCCTAGCATATTGAAGGGACTTAGAGACATCAAGGATTAATACCAAGAAAAACTCATTGCGGACTGTTTCTCAGACAGCAACCAGTGGCAAATTAAAATGCTTCCTCTCCCCCGGCATAGGGGTGTGCAACTTCCATCCCCTTGAGACCGAGCCCAGATAGGGCATGTTGATGGTCATGCTTCAGAAGTGGGTAGGGCCACTAACCACTACACATGCTCTAGTGGCTGGCTGTCAGAATCTCCTACCTATGGGGCTGCAAAAATCTGTTTTCAGGTACAGGTATTTGTAACAAGCTCTATCATACTTTTCTCCCTAGAACATATCCCTGTTTTTGAGAAATCAGCTTTGGTGACAATTTGCAGTTTATTTACCTGCAAGGTAGACGCTTCTGAATTTAAGCTGAGTTGACCCTGACCAACCCAAAAGGAAATTAAACATTAAGACTGTACATGTCACTACTAATATATTTTTGGTGAATGTAAGATAACTATCCCACTTTAAAGATAAACTGTTTGGGGAAAGAAATTGTTGTTCCTTTAAGTTTTTTTAAGTGTTTTTCCTTTAAGGCTCTAAAAACATGGTGTTGCCAACATATCTGATATCTGGGGACCTGATTATGGTTTGGAGCCTGTCAGGGCCATATTCATGACATTCACTTGCCTGCTTTTTCTGTTTCTAAGTTGTAATTTTTGTTTTTAATTGGGTTTTAAAGGGAGTTACTGTGTTTTACTGATTTTTGGATTTGTTTATTGGTTATGCTATAATTATGTGAGCTGCCCAGAGTCATAAATGTGACCTGGGCAGCTACACAAACTGAATGAAGGAATGAGGGAATAAAAATATATATTTGGGTTGACATTTTAATAGGCATTACCTTTAAAATGTCCTGCCAGAAAAAACAGCTCCAAAAATAAAAGCAGCAAGTTTCCGTTCTTCAGCTTTGCCCAGAGAATAATTTTGTTTTCTTTTGCTATCTGTAAGTCAATAGGAAGTGCTATCCTAGTGATGTTTGTACGGGAGGAATATTACACCCTACTCAGTTCTTCTTGCTTTTTAATTTACTAGGTGTTTGTGAAACCTGGAGATAAAGTTCAAGTTGGGGACGCGCTTGTGGTAATGACAGCTATGAAAATGGAGGTATCTTTATAAAAGTTGTTTTTGTACTTGCAGAGAAATCTCACGCTAAGTGCTTTCAAAATATAGTGCATCTGTCTCCATATGTTGGAGGAAAGTACCATTATCCCAAGCCAGCACAGTCAGTGGGAGGGAATTTCATCAACTGTAGTCGAACACGAGGAAATTGCATTGGAAATCAAATCATGTAGTCTCAAAGCAAGTAGAGGATGAATTCTGTGGTGGGACTTCCAAAGTCAGGGCCTTCTTTGGCAGTGGAGTGAGAAGTCCTATAGATCAGTGTTTCTCAACCTCAGCAGCTTTAAGATGTGTGGAATTCTAGGAGTTGAAGTCCATGCGTCTTAAAGTTGCTGAGGTTGAGAAACAACTGGTACAAATGATGTTCCAGGGTGCATTACAATGGCAGAAGGGATTTTTTAATTTAAAATTGAAACCTTTCTTGAAATCTTCATGTTTTTACTAGAGCTCACAGTCATCAATTTAGGACATGGATGTTGTTGGGTTGGATCCTGAAGTCATTCCAAATCAGAGTTAAGATGTAGATATTGTGTGCGTTTTAAACCATTTGGCCTAAAGTATGCATCTAGTTTGTACGGCATTGTTTTCATTTGAAATCAGGACTGATATAGTATATCCTTTACTTGCAGCACACCATCCGGGCTCCAAAGGCAGGGATAATAAAGAAAGTTCTTTATCAGGAGGGTTCACAGGTCAACAGACATGCTCCACTCATTGAGTTAGAAGAGGAAGACTGATTCAGAATAATCCCCAGTGATTGGAGGTAATGCATTTTGCATCTCAATTGTTCCTTTTCCCATATCTCAAGAATCCATGCTTGCTTCTTATTTACTGAATAGATTATTGATAAGGTATTTTGTACTTTTTTTTTTTTATGCTCTTCTGATGTTTTCTCATCACAGTTTCAGGAAGAGCTGCCTCCAAATTTTTTGCTGCATGAGAATGAAAGAGAACTCCCAGGGCTGGTTCACCTATGCACAGCTGTCATTCGATGTTCCTCAGGGTTTAAAATTATCCTTTCTTATTGCTGGATTTCTTAGCAGTTGATGACTCTCCATGAAAGTAAAAATGCCCTGCACTGAAAAATATTGTAAATCTTCACCTGAGAGGCTGGTGGATACTGAGATGCATGTGTAGGTATTCCAAAGATGTTCCTCCAGTCTAAAAAATGCCTTTTTGAGAATTGGACTTGAAAAGTTTTTGATCACATTTTGATCACATTTTCATTTAGCCAGCAATGTAATCTGATGGTCCTGGACAAACTGAGTTCTCACTTCCCCATTGGCATAATAATAGCTTGACCAGGATGGTCAGTGTGGATGAAGAAATCTGGACTGCAAAGAACTAAGTGCGCTAAAGAACAGAAGGCAGTGAAGCAAGGCAACTTTCCAGAGTCAGTACTCATCTGAGTGATCGATGGTAGCCAGAAATATAGTAGAAAAAATACTGTATGAACACAAGTACCTTCTTCTCCATCTTTTTCACTGGCATGGGTTGTCTCTTTAGAAAGCAGCTGCAATGACATTTTATAGCTTCGAAGATCAGATTCAACTGCTGCATTATTTTAAAATATTTTGAGAGCTGTGGTTGGGAATGACAATTGTAATTTGTAACAGGGACAATTTGTTCTGATCTCTCTTTGTCCCAGGTTTGATTATCTGATTATGGAATTTCTAATACAAGATCTCCATGTTTTATACAATACATTTAAAAGGCTAACATGGTAATAATACAGCTCTGCAAGTATTTTTCCTATATTGTCATCTCTTAGTGCAATTTGCAGAATTCCTGAGCAGAAGTAAGGATTTGCATATGAGCTCCTACAACATTAGACTGGACACATACAGTGATTGTGGAAGCCATTTTTTCCAATAATTTCAGCAGTATGAACAAACAGCTGAACTTAAGTTTGAGAGCAATTCCCTGGGAAAAGATGAGTTTTGCATTTGAATATACAGGTAGTCCTCGCTTACTAACCATTTGTTCAGTGACTGAAGTTACGACGGTGCTGAAGGGGTGGTACGTATGACCAGTTCTCAAAGTTCTGGCTGTCTCAGCACCCCCGCAGTCATGTGCTTGTGTTTTGGGCGCTTGGCCACCAGCTTGCACTTACGACGGTTGTGGTGTCCTGCGGTCATGTGATTGCCATTTGTGACCTTCTCTGCTGGCTTCCCACAAGCAAAGCCAATGGAGAAGCTGGCAGAGAAGCTTGCAAGTTCCTCTGGTAAGTCCTTCCTTGGCCTTCCTGCACACCTTCCTTCAGCCTCCCTGTGCTCACACACCCACTCCCTCCCTCCCGTGGCCGCCACACCGCCACACCCCCCTCCACCAACTTGCACATGGCCTATACTGGGCCTCCCCCACCTCCCTGCAGCACCCCTGTGCTCCTTACCTGAGACTTCCATCACTTCCTACTTAATGATCAACGTGTCTTCGGGTTACAATGGCAACTGGGACTGCCTGCATTGCCGTCACTAAGAGATGCAGTTATGTAGCATTGTGCTTTACGACTGCATTGCTTAGCGACAGAAATCCCGGTCCTAAATGCTGTTGTAACCCGAGGACTACCTGTACGTCTGATGTTAATTAAGCTGCCCTTTTTGCATTAGAATTTTCTTCTTTGAAGCAGCCAATGCTTGTTTAGTGACTCCCTCAGACAGCAGCCACTCACAGTTACAACTGTGATGAAAAGGTAACTTTGCAACCAATGCTCGCATTTACGACCTTCACAGCGTCTCTCTCAGTGACATGTTTGCTATTATAGTCAGTCAGTATGGTATTGTATTGACCTGTGCCTGACCCAGTCCCCCCCCTGCCCTTGCAGAATGGAGAGATTGCCTGAAGAAGCTATCGCTTCCTGAATTGTTTTTCTTTGCAGTGCTGCGCATCCCTAAAAAGCACAAACCACAATTTAACAAGCTCAGCTCTGTGACCTTAATTAGTTGATTGGAACCCTCCAGCCAGCTTGTGCTGCTGTCTGATACTGACCAGACCCTAATCAGTTTCATACAAAAGGCTTGCTTTTGTCTCCTAAGCTGTCTAGGCAAACGACTGGTGCTAGTGCATTCCTTTCAATGTGTGTTCTCCATTGTGTGCCTACTTACTTTCTTATAATTCTTTCCTCTCCAATGAATGTGAATGCAAACATTAATTCTCTTCTTGCTACTGATTCCAGCATCAGGGGTGAGCATTCCAAAGGGCAGGGGAGTGGGGAAAAGGGGCCCAAAGATTTGCCCTTTTACCCAGCTTCCTCGTGAGATGAGTTCTGGAAACCTTTTCTGCCGTTTGGGCTCACCTGGCTCTTTGGGGTCATATCCACAGTCATGTGATTTTCACTTAGTGATCACTTCACTAAGTCATCGGAACCAGTTGCAGTCACTAAATGAGGACTACCTGTATACGCATCATACTGTACTGAACATATACTTGCTCAGTAAGGAACTGTCCACCAACAGGGAACAGTGTTGATCATTGTGAAATAGGTGGAAAAAAATAGCTGGTTCTACAAGGGACCGTTGATTCCAAACTCACAGACTAAAAGAAAAGATGTTAATAAAAGTGGTCATCTTATTTTAGATTTTTTTCCAGGCTCCTGGCTCTTTGTGCAACTTGCCCTATGAATTTTAATGACATTTAAATGTAGGCAACCTAGTTTCAGCAGGACATTGTCCACGGATGTTTCCCAGAAAATACTGACCAGGTTTTTTGAGACATGCATCATACGTAACCATTCCACTGTAGGCTTCATCAGATATAATACTGATTTAAAGCATTTATATCCCACCTATTAGCCTGAAAGTTGGAGGGGCTATTTACATTATAATAAAAACAAGATTGTTCCTGACCTGAAGCATTTAAAACAAGTGAGCTAATACAACTTCCAAAACGATAAAATTCCTACATTCATAGGAAAAATAACCCTTGGCTCCTTCTCCTCTCCAAATTACTTCTATATTTTTCCTGGGCTCAGTTCCAAACAAGATGTCCACCCATTATTTTCATTTTAATCCTTTTATCTAAGAGTATTGTGTGATGAATATTCAGAGAAGCCAACTTGGAAATAGATGATGATACTTTATTTTGCTGTGTGTGGGTGTGTATACAGAGATTCACATGCATACACACCCTTTCTATGAGTGACCAACAAGCTAAATGAGGTCAGGGCTTTTCTTTGAATAGAGTGTCGGTGCTGAAACAATTTGATAATTTTTAGAAAAGGGTTAAAGTCTTAAAATGAGTTTGATTCTTGGTGACGCCATAAAGACACCAATGTAGCTTTTTTGACAATATGGAAATAATTTGCCTATTTTAGGGTCCCCCCCCCCAACTTTCCAGTCTAGCATTTTGGGTATTTCCTGTTGGTTTCCCCTCCAAGCCCTAACCAAATTTAACCCTGCTTAACATTTTTCGGGATTAACCAAGGTCACTGGATGCTGCCACTCAGATACTCTCCTGAAGAAACTGGGGATTATAAGAAATAAACACAGCACAGAAAAACAAAACCAAACCAACCCTCACAGCTCCGCTTCAGGAAGCGACAGAAGAATCATTGTGCAAGCAGGCCCAGAGGCAGCCAACAGGATTACAACTCAGGAGCAGCAATGTGATGAAATTGAGGATGACTGTCCTCAGCAAATGACCTGCCGCCTTCTAGCCTGAGATGCGCCTGTCGTAAGCCCCGTGCTGCTTGCAAACAGTTGAGGAGGAGGAAACGGGAAAAGGTTTTCCACTCACTTTTCCAAGTGCGTACAAACATACCCATCAAGCTAGTCCTTTTCAGGGTAAGACGTAAGAATGGCGAAGCAGAGAAAAGGTGTAAGAAGCAAGCAAGAGAAATGAAAGGTAGGAGATCAAAGGAAAAGGCACAGCTAAACCTAGTTTGTACCAATACCGTTCACTACGCTGCTCCGTAGGTTTCTGTCCTCACAAACCGCCACGTCCGTACAGTTTCATGTCTTGTCTTTTGTTCTTTAAAGCAGTGTTTCTTGACCTTGGCGACTTGAAGATGTGTGGACTTCATCTCCTAGAACTCCCCAGCGAGCATAGCCGGCTAATATTATATTATTATAATATATATATATTATTCTAATGTTATACTAATATAATTATACTAATATATATTATCTATTAATAATATAATATATTATTATATATGATTATAACATTCATATTATTATGATGAAGCATCTAATAGTGAAGTTATAATGGAGTGTGTACCACTGCACCTGCACGTAGGGATGTGATGGGTTGGCCCCTCTGACTCCCTCAAGCAGGGGTCCCTGGGCCCCTTCCCCACACAATTGGGGAAGGAGGTCTTGCTCTGAAGGCTCCCACCCCCACTTTCATTTCTCCTGGGTTTTACTCTGAAGGAAGAAAGTGAAAGACCCTCCTCCTTTTATTCCCTCTCTTTTCCGTAGCACCAGGGCTGTAAGGCATGTGAGACTACTTCCCTGTCAGAATGAGACTCCTGATTTCAAAAGAAGGTATGAGCTATTATGCAAATTAAGGCTAGGGAACCAGTTTAGCAATAAAAAGACAATGGGAAAGAAAAAGTCAGGGATTCTTGCCAGCAGCTTCTACACACATATAGGCAAAATAAAATACTGTAGCAGCAAAGCACATGAAGAACAGCATAACATCAATTTTGCATCTAGTTCTGGTTTTCTCTAGATCAACGTTCTTAAACTTTTTTTCTCTAAGGAGCCCTTTCCTCTTTTAAAAATTATGGAGGACCCCAAAAGAGCTGCTCTTTGTATAGGTTACATTTATCGATATTTACCATATTAAAATTGATGCACTTGCTGCCACTACTACTACTCCTGATTGTTTGATGGGATTTTAATATATTATTTTTCAACATAGGCTGGCAAATAATTTTGATTTTGTGGACCCCCAAGATGGTCTTGGAGGATCCCCAGGGGTCCTCAGACCACACTTTGGGAAACACTGTCCTAGATTACTAATTTCTTCTGATTCACTAATCATTTTTTCATGACTGGGTGGTTGGTCCTTCCCTGGCAGAGGCCTACGATGGAAGATAAAGAAGAAAAGCAAAATCCAGCCTGCTTGTTCCAGCACTAAAGGAAACTGCTGGGCTTGGAGAAAAAGACCCTCCCCAGAAGTCTTCCGTGTAAAAAGGGAAGCACAGCTCTAGAACACCAGAGCCAGAATTTTAAATAAAGATTAAAAACTCTCTTAAACTGAGGGCGTTTCCTCAGTTGCCATACAGAGGTGGTTTGGTATCACCCCCTTCAACTTCTCAATGTAGTCTACTTACTAAATCTGACCTGTTTAATTTTGGGAGATTGGAGGCGGGGGGTGGGGGGGAGAGACCTGCTGACCCATCTGGGCTACTTGCGGATTGCAGTTTAAAAAGCCTGCTGCTCCAGATAATGATGAGGCCAGAGCAGGAGTTTGGGGAAGAGTCCAGCTATGTAGAGACGGGGAACACCTCTGGCCGAGCATCTGTCCTGCAGAAGTCTCCTTGGGGTGCAATGCAACTTCATGGAGATGATGTAAAGTCTTCTGGGCAAAGGAGAAAAGGGGGCTGCGCTGGCTTCTTCCACCTTTCCTGCTGGGGCGCCTGCCCTCTTCCTCAGGGCCCCCCCCCCCCCATACCCCCAAAATTCACACGTCAGACTTAATAAGTAGGCTACAAAGGAAGGCTG